ATCCCTTCCTTCTCCCCAGAAGCGTCTGGCATCGGCCCAGCGGTGCAGCCGTCCCGCATCCTTCGCCGCGCTGCCTCTGCCCTCCCCGCTTCTCCTGCCTGCCCTCCTCCTAACGTCCCAGCCAGGATTCTCCAGCCCTCGATCTCCCAGGCTCTGCAGCCATCTTTTCCCCTTGGCCTCCTCTCTCCTCCCACTGTTTGCGGGGTGGTGCTGCGGGAGCATTGGGCTGCTTGACAAGGCGGTGGAGGCTCCTGGGCTCTCTCTTTCCATTGTCTTGCTGCCATCCCATTTCCATTCCTCTCCTCTCTCATCTCGTTCCTTCTGCCTTTCTACCAGCTCTACTGTCGGGGCAATAATGTAAGTGATTTTATTGCCTCCATCCCATTATATCTTTCTGACCACACTATAGTCTCTTGCTCTCCAAAGAATGCTTACTGATGCTAATGCAGCCTTTCCTAATCTTTGTGTTCTCCAGATGCATTGGATTGCAACCCCCAGAATCCCCAGCCAGCGGTCTCCCATTCTCATGATCTTGCCAACTGTTTACCTTCCCTGAAAATGCTTCATGTTGATTGAGGACTTGTTTTTTCATCTGTTTCTCCCAGTTCCACATACTTGGGAGTAACTCTGTGAAGTGTCCCTGAATTTTGATCTTCAGAATGTTATTTACTGTTCTAGACTCTTCCAATCAGTCATAAAAATTGAGAGAGAAAAACCAGTAGTATACTGAAAATTACCCAGGGTAAAGTTTGCTATTGTTTCACTAGGTATTTCCAACACTTCTGAGTGTTGTGTTTGCATGGAATCCATACTGCAGCGGCTGAGATATAGCCAAGATCTGCATAACTTACTATTTTCAGATTCACTATTTACTGTAACACATAGGGGCAATAGTTAGAATAGAGCTTCCAGTCACTCTTCCTGTCATGGCAACTCTTAAAGCAATTATTTCTAGCCCAGTGCCTTTCAGAATGGCTGGATTAGAACTCTCATAATCTCATCCTGCATACCAATGCTTACTAAGGAGAGTGCCATTCTGGAGAAGGCTAACTTAAAGTGTGCTTCTCCAGTCTCATAAATGTAGCTTTCTGAGTCACCCAGTCAAGCTGATTGACACTAGGTTAGGATGACAAAGGAGCATCTCTTCATGCATTGTGTAGGTAAAGTTAAAATTCTCCACTAGAATAAAACAAAGATAAATAGAACAGTATAAAGTTCTAATTTAGATGCCTGGATAAACCACAAAGGAAAGCATTGAAGGTCCATACTTTTCACTTTGAACAGTTGTTCTATTAGTTGTTTAGTTTAATGGATTACTATGAACATGCATGAACTAGATGGATTTTGAAGTCTCCCTGCAATTGGAAATGTTGCCTTCTCCAGCTTCCCAGTTCTGGAGAAATTTCTAAATGTTGGGTTCTTGGTGTTTTCTGAGCAGCAAGCTACGTAACATCCTTATCTAACCTGGTAATGAAACATGTGAGGAAAACAGCCATGCTCAGATCAAGGACCCAACAAATCAACCCTGAGTTACATATATTTTCTACTATTGGAGGTTTCTTGTGTATTCTGATGAGCTTAAGTCATAAGAGGAGCTGGCATTCACAGAACAGTTGGGAACAGAGTTTGCACGCACATCCCAGCCTCCCTCCCTTGTAAACTTGCATTTGATCTTTCCCTTAAGTTCCTGCATGTTGAGGTAGACTCAGCATCTTTTGACATGTTAAAGAATTCACAAGACTAAATCAATGAAAAAAACAACTTATCTTGATTTATGGCTATAAAAACATGCCACAAAAACATGCTATCTATATGCTTAAAAATGAATTGCTTCTAGTGCAAGTTCCATTAAAACAGTAACTTTTTCCTCTCAAAGCTCTTTTCACCTTAAAAATGTAGTAGTAAAAACTACAGCTAGACTAAAATGTGCCCCCACTCATTTTCCCTGATTTCCTGTGAAAATAGAGTCTGAATTTCTATTGGTTTATTTTAGAGAAGACTGAGAAATGTTGCTAAAGTTTTCAAGGTATGTATACTGCAGCTAATACATAGATGAGGGCAGGACTTAACAATTTTAAAAGGAAGAAGGGAAAATGAGCTACCATATAAAATAAGCAACGCCAACAAAAGATATGTGGCACACATATACCCATTTCAGAGAAATATCTTCTAATTACCTTTTTTTTGAGGATACAGAGTTCATTTCTGTTCCCATGGATCAAAGTTTGAAAAAGAAATATGTTTCCCCCCTCAAACTATGGCAAAAGAAAGTATTTATGCTTTTTTTTTTTCTTGCACCTTCTATGAAATGGACAATGAAACCACATAATTTACCACAGGGCAAGATTTATGGTCCCAGGACAGTTTCTGGAGTTCATAGATCACACACTCACTGAGCAAAATCCTTGTGTCTCACTAAAATAGAGGCTAGGAAAGAAGAAGGCTGAGTCACCAATGCTTACTTTTCTCTGCTCAGTAACACGTGAAGTGTCTTTGAAATATTTAGGATGTTGTAGCAAATAATGGCTAAGGTTCCAGTTCCTCAGCCAAAGCGAAGAAGATGTGTTATGCAGGAAGTCTTGAGCTGCTGGAGGAAAGTAGGAATATAAATCTAATCCATCCAGATAGAATTGGTTCAAATCCCCATCTGACTGTGAAACAATTCTCTTGTGAAGATAAAACAGGAGGATCATGATCTCCTTGGAGGAAAACAATAGAGCTGAAATAAAGATATATCTCATTTATTTTTTTTTCCTATTTTACCATCATTCCTTAATTTTTCATATTTTTCATTTGTCATGTGCCATCTTTTAAATAAAATGTGTGTATGCGTGTATGTATGTGTGATTATCTTGTTAATGCCATCTCAGACTTCTAAAGTTTGAGAATCAAACAGATCATGTGCTTCAGTACTCATATAATTAGGCATGTGCTTATTTCTCTTTAAATAAGGTTTCAGTTGCTTTGAAGGCTAAAATATTCTTCATCTGGAGCTTAACTGTATCAGTATATAAAGTGTTTGACATGTTTCATGGTGTGTTTTCTCCAACCTCCAGAACTGGTCCAAAACATTTTGTTATTTGAGACAAGTAGCAAATACTGTCTCCCCTCCTAAGATTAAATTTAAGCAAACCTTTAATGTTACATTACAAGTTAGAGCATATATAATCCATTGCGCTATGCAGGGTTTTTAAAATTTTCCCATAGGGCAAAAAGATAGCTGGACCAAACCCAACTATTTACTGTCTATAAAATATAATGCTACATAATGTGTGTTTAATTAATGCTTTCAGATATCATACTTTCTCCTGATTCACAATTTTGTAGATAGATTGATCTTATCTATACTGGGGGAGCTCAGGAAGAATGGTGGGGATACTGCACTTGTCACTTGTAGAAAATTGTCACCCCCTCCATTTTAATGTTTAGATCCTCCCAACCTTCAGAGTACTCATTTGTATGGAAATATAATTGCTGCAGGTAATACTAATGCTAATAAATAACCTTGAACTGCTTCTGCCATAGCAACATCAGATTTTAATAAAGTGATGTGTTCTTAAATCCTTTGTATTTTTAAAACTTTGATTATTCATTATAGCAGCACTTATTGTTTAGAAAGAACGTTTCAAGACTTCCTAGTTCTTCACATTTCTGTTTTCGAAAACATTGTAAGTAATAACAACCCATATTTTATTTTTCTACTGCAGGGGTAGGAAAGCTTTCTGTGGCCAATGGATCACATTTCCCACACACAATTTTTGGCATCCAGTGGGACCTAGTCATTATTTCATTCTTCCCAATATAGTACCATTTTTATATATGGTTCTAGACATTAACTTCATAGGTTACTGCAACTGTAAAACAAGGATCACATCTCTTGATCTATTATGTGGATATGTATAAGAACCATGGCTGATGCTGTGCAATGATTATTATTGCTTCTCTCCCCCCTCCCCCCCTTAATATCACTGGATATATTTTATATGTACTACTAGAAAAAAATGTATGCGCTTCTATCCAGTTTCTGGTGTGAATATGTAAAAGTCAGTTATGAAGTTTTAAATAAACTTGAATAGGATGTCTAAATTGCTCATGCAAGGAGGTTAATTTACAATTGTTTAGCACCTTCCTGCATGTGTCAGCAGTGAACATTTTTTATGCCTGTATTTTAACTGAAGCTTCTTTTCCAATCTCACTCACCGTCTCTTTTCCATAAAATTGAATTCATTTGGGAACGGCTTTTTCACATTTTAACCTTTCCAGCCTGAATCTTGGCATACAATTAAACAGATGTCATGGACTGAATAAGACCTCCCTTTGAGAATCATTTTCTTCACTATTCCAGATTTCTTGGGAAAAGCTTTGTCATACATATGTCACTTTAAAGAAAACTAAATGCACTGAAAACCTGCAAATATTTGTTCTCCAGACAAAAGATTTATCTGCAAAAAACTAAGGTCTAGTTTTGGTAGACTTTACCAAATGCCAGGGAATGTTTTTGATACCCCAGAACATGGCTATACGTCTTAGAAACATAAAATAGCATCACCACACTGTTGGTAACATAGAACACAATAGAAGTTGGCATACTACTTGATGCTACTTCCCAATCTTTACAAGCATGTTATCAGTATATAATAAAGTACAATTTAGGAGGGAAAAAAATCAATTTCACCTTTTATTATAAAATCTCTATATCTTGTGGTGCTTCTAAAGGAATTTTCTCCAGGAATTGTATTTACAAGTATCTGGCATGCAAAATGATCATTGCTTGTTTCACCCTGTGATGATGC